ACATTTGCCATCTCCACATCATTGCATTCAGTTTTTATTCACAATTTGTTTAGTGTCCCAACTTTTTTGGAATCCGGTTTGTACTCTGGTTGCAGCTGGACTTGAAAGGATGAGTTTTACAGACGCTGTGCAAAGTTTTGACTTCCTGTTTCATGCTGGGGCTCAGCCCATCCTTTGTGTCCACATTCATCAGCGCTGTCTGTCCTCTCGCCAGTCTCACTCTTGACCCAGTGTCTCTAAAACCCAACGGTCTGTCCCTGCCTCGCACTCAGACTGGGCCTCGGCGTGTCGTGCTCATTTCAGGAAGTTTCCCCATCCCCTCTGGACGGATCAAATGACTCTGAGTCGAGAGCTGCTTATCATGAAACTCATCCTGCACTTCCTTAATTGGTTAGCTCACTTTTTCTTTTTTTCTTAAACTCATCAACTTTACAAATGAGTCATTTCTTTTTTTTCTTATCACCCCTAAGAAGCGTTCCAGCTTAGGGAGATAAACTGGATGTTCATCTGATCAGTGTAACAAAACCATTTAACCGAATAGGCCAAATGTACTCAGAGACAGCCCAGATGGGATGATGAATGGATGGCGTTTCCACACGAGGACAGGGATTTTTCTTCCTTTTTGTCTCCATGTTTTCTTCACTCTGAGCCATGTGCTTAAACAGTCAAGTGAGCGGATTTGTAGACCTGAGGCTTATGGCTTAGAGATGATTGCTTGCATTGGCTTGGCCTCCGATTAAAACAAAATACGGGTTTTACTTCTAATGAGAGAACGAGACAGGGAGTTTGATTGAGGTGATATTACAAACATTAAAGAAAATTAGGAGAAGTAAAAAGAAGACTTGAGTCATATTTGTGAGTGACCTTTGAAGAAAGTGACTTTTTCCAGAACCAAAACTGGTAAAAGTTCAAATGTTAAATTACAGCTTCTCGAAAAGTTAAAGTGAACCGGCTTCTTCTGCTTTTCGATTTTGCTCTCGGTTTCTCGGAGAAACATGGCGCTGGTGAAGCTGCGCCCCCTCTTTAAAAAAAATAAAAATGTGTTCAGCTGTAAAACATTTCAGGGAACTTTATGCTTCCCCATTCAACCCCAAACTGTACCTAGAGCCTCTCCTCTGGCTATAAAAAAGACGAGAAAGGAAAAATGGTTGAGGGCAGGATGAGGTCCTCGTCTCTGCATCTTTATAATGCAGGCCACTTTCCAGGCATGCTCTCTGCTGCTCCTCTCTGTCCTTTTCTTGTTTTCTATTCTATTGGTAGATTAGAGAGACTCTGAAAATAAAATGTGCAAATCCATACAGCGTACACGATATGCTGGTGCCCTGACACTGAACGTCTCATGAACAGATGTGTTCAAAGATGGCTGCCACAGCTTAGGCACCTTAGCAAACACAAATATGGCTACTGTACGGTCAATTTGACAACTATTGAGATACAGCTAGTTATCTGAGAGGCATGCCTGTCACGATAACAAATTTTGCTGGGCGATTAATTGCGATAAACGATCATTTTGTTTGAAATTTGACAATAACTAGTAATTATTGTCAAATTTAAAAAGAAATGTTTAATTTGTTTTGCGTGTAGTACCTTTTTTCGACCACCAGATGGCAGTATAAGACTGTTTGAACCGAAGGATGGATAGTGAGTGAGTGAGCAAGCAGCGTGTCTCTTTAAGAAAAATGGGAGGGAGGCCCCTTGACATGACATGGGCTGTCTCTCTTCGGTTCTCAAAATGGTGGATGCTCGGTTTGGTTTGAGCTCTTTAGCATAGCATTTTTCACATAAAGCTTTTAATTAAAAAAAAAAATCAGTAAACAAGTTCTCAGCTTCTTTTTGCAGAGAAAAACTTTACATGATGGCACAGGTTTCAACCGTGAATTTTTGGAGCTTTTGGAGAGTAAGGTTTTTCGTCGAGGTCGGCTTGTTAGCTTAGCTCGTAGATTAGCTTCTCAGCTTAGCGAGCACTGGAGTTGAGCTTTTTGCCATCCAGTGTCTTCGGAAAGAGAGAGACACGAAGAAACGATAAAGCCGATAAATGAAAATAAGGTTGATAATTTTCATTTATCATGCGATTAATTGATTTATTGTTTATCGCGACAGGTATATTTACATTCTGAACACCAACACAAGATCTGACTTTTAAAACTTTGTTCTGACCTAGCATATTTATCATGTATTTAAAGTCCTTTTTTAAAAGTATTTATCCTTGCTCTGCTTGTGTCAACACAAACACTAAGAGCTAACATGGCCATGTGGTAAAACAATATTACGACTAGGGACTGGGGGTACACCTATTTATCGGCATCGACTTCCTTAATCTTGGGAAATCGGAGCTCGGCCATTACTTACATGAGAAACCGATTTTACCGATTTTTTTGTCGTTTTAACAACAATTGTCTAAACTTCATTTATATATCAGAGCACTACCTCATGGCCAGTTAAAACAAGTTTGTATTGTTTCTATGATATTGTTAAAGCGTATGTTTTTCAATAAAACAAGATTGGAAAATTGAAGGTGCATTGCGACCTTATAACACCTGACAGTATCGCTTATAAAACAAAATCGGAATTGGCATGTCAGGCTTTTTAGAAATTGGTGATCGGCCAGATTATTATCCATCGGTGCACCCCCAGTTACGACCTATTTGAATCTAAAACATGAGGGATTTTTTTTTTCTGTCTGAAACAGGTGAAAAGGTAGTATAGATTTTATTTGCACCTAATTCAAGATTTATGACTGAAATTTTGGTTTCCAATGACTTGTTTTGTTTTAGTTTAACACTGTCCAGGATTAGTTGGAGGTGGTCCAAGGGCCATATCTGGCCCTCGAGTCACACTTTAACTATTTATATTACAGTACACGGCAGTCATGGAAATGTAAAGAACAATACTATTTAACTCTTTGCCTCCTTTCAGAGAATGTGCACAACTTTCACTTCTGCAGAAAATCTTTAAGCATTTATTTAATCTCAGGCCAAAATATCTGATTAAAACCCACTAAGCTTGAGTTCAGCTAATTCATTTGTGTTTTATGTCTTTTTCATATCAGCCGAGAGCCAGGGGCAAATCACACGCTCAACGTGTAACAAATGAAAGCTCTGACTTGCCTATCAGTGTGGTCTCGGCTCGGGGGTCTTTAAAGTCAGAAAACCCCCCACCAGAAGCCACTTGTTAGGTGAACAAAGATGCCAAACACATTGAAATGAAGGCTGCGGACCTACATGAAGGTTTATGGCTTTGCAGCCCTTTACTGGGTAAACAGGAATGGCCTGACCTGTTTGTTGTGAGGACGATATAACACACAAACTCCAGGAATGTGCTCTGGCTGGAGGAGAAACCGAGGCAGGCACACACACAGGAAGGATAATAACGCCTATGCCACATTTCCAAGCGTGATCTTTCTAAATAATAGGCTCTCTTGTACTTTTAACGGAGGTTTGGTGTGGAGGGTGGTCATGGGACTCCCCAATGTGATGGCAAGGCACTAATCTGCTTCGTATGGCCCCCTCACATGTGCTCGCACCATTGTTTCCACTCTAAACAGGGAGCGCAATGTTACCTAAGGGACACGTAAGTTGGGAGCGTAGAACCCCTTCCATTAATTTCTACTCTTATTTTGAGTCGGCGCGTCCTTGAAGGCTCGTCAAATCCCACACCAGTTTCTTCGTTTTTTTTCTGTCGGCGGTTTGAACGGAACAACAAACCCTCAAAAACACCAGATTTCACACAAGCAAAACGGGCACAACAAAGTCAGGGAACTCACGAAGCGAACCAGAAAAATCAAATGCGGCAAAATGCGCAACAATAATCAAAATTTCAGAAAAATCGCGAAAAACATTTGGTGACGTGAAAGTTCTCAGACAATAACAGCTGCTGTGTTTAATATTGTGGAAAGGCAGTTTGTTTGTCTGAACTGTTAGCAAAATATCTCATGAACAAGTGGATTGCCAGCTGAAACCCCACTCAAGAGGCCTTTCGGAAACGCAAAACAAGGGCTACGACTTGGACAGTTTTACAGATATCGAGGTCAAAATTGGTGTGGTAGTAGCTGAGAGTCATCCCCAACACCATCTCTAAACACCAACTGATCCAACAAGATCGGGCTTGAACCTATTTGTTAGCAAAATATCCCATGAACCACTGGATTTTAGTAAAACTAGTCTCAGAAAGTAGTCACTAGATGTGCATCTACATTAACTTTTGGATTAATTTCAAGATGGCCTCTACAGTTAACTGGCCTTAGCAAATACACAAGTGGCTACAACTCAATCAGTTTGGATGTGGTAGTAACTGAGCATCATTCACAACACCTGATAACACATCTCACAAGATCTTGGCATAACGTCTTTTACTTTGTTTAATAAAAAGGTCTATAAACGCCATTATTGCTCTTTAAATTGAATTTCTAATAGGGGTGCACCGATTGCAATTTTCTGGCCGATCTCCGATTAAGGAAATCGGTGCACCCCTAATTTCTAACCAATTTGAACATTTTTTTTTCTTTACAGCAGTCAGGTCAAGCTTTAAAAAAAAATACGTATAAAACTACTAATATAAAAAGCTAAACTTCTAAAACATTGTAAATCGAAGAGAAATCGTTTAAACATAGACACATAAAATTAATACAAAATACCAAAGTGTGCTGTGCAAACTGATGTACTGTAAATTTGGACACATTTGTTTTTGAGTAATTAGGATCAAAACTTCTAAAATCAGTGTACATTTAAAAGTTAACCTATGTTGTACCTTGTCTCCCCATAAGTGTAAAAATATATTTAGGAGTTAACAACATGCAGCTGTTGAGGCAGAATCCCATTACGAAAAGAAAACGTGTGTACGAGCCTGGGAAAACCGAGGATTCCTCTTCATAAATGTTATTTTTCCATTAAACCGACCGGTGCTGTAATTTATTATCCGGTAAACACGTGGGAATAGTATTTCAACGCCACTAGATAAACAACTGCCGTACCACGCGCACATCTCGCGATAACTCACGCTCCGCCAGCTTTCGCCTATTGTGAGAGTTTTCCAGATCTCGCGAGATCTCGGAAGTTTCCCACGCCTGTTGTTGTGGCGTCTGCCCCCTTTTGCTCACTCTCTCCCTCCGAGTGTTGCTGTTTTCCGCCTCCCCCCCCCCCCCCTTCGTTTTTTTTTTTTTTTTTCCTCAATCTCTGCCTCCCTCGTCCTTACACCTCCAGTCTGCTTCTGTTGTCTCGGCGGATTGTTGGGCTGTTGGAGAGGAAAGGATATCGCGAGTACTGGAGTTTTGGTGAGAGTTTGTGGAAGATGGCGCCTGTTGTGACAGGGTGAGTCTGAGGTTCGGGGCTGATCGGGGGAATAGAAGTTATTCACATGGAACTGTGCGGTTTTTACTTATAGAATCTAGCCTGCACGTTGTAAAGTGTTTCACCCACAAGTCCCGTGGCTAAAAGCCGTTTTTTGTTGTAATATGTGAACGAGTGCGGTGTTTCCCCCTTTCTTTCACCAGTTATCGCTACTTGCCTGAACCGACTCGGTTGCTGCGGTGTTCGGTGAGCAGCTAGCCCCAGCTAAGCGTCACTTCACCCGCGGTGGTCTCTGCCAAACAACGGCAGGGCTGCTAGCTCGCCGACTAGCCTGCGAGCTACAAGCACAGCCGACGAGGCACGTTTTCATTGGGATATGTCCTCCCGCAGCCTCTCTGTGGAGGTGGAAGCCTTAAAACCCCCCGCATCTGTTTTCGTAAACGTGCTCACGCCAGCTAGCCGGTGTTGTGCCGAAAAATGCACCCCTCCCGCGAAAGGCGCCCCCGTCGTGGGGAAGCTCGCACGAATGCCGTTTGGTCCTCTAATAAATTTAAAAGTTAAACGTGGCAACCTGGCTTGCTTTCTTTTAGTACTTTTAAACGAAACGGCACCCCACAGGTATTTCATCATATCGGCGTGCTTTTGGTCATAAACGGTTCGCGGTTTTCGTCACAACACCTAGTCTAGCACGTTTACGGATCAAATTGAGGACTTTAAGCTAGCGATAGACCCACACAAACTGCGACTAATGTGCGACAAACAGCTTATTTGAGCTGTGCTAGATGTAGTATTAGCTCGACACGGCGTGCTAGCTGTTTAGAGTTTTACATTTGTTTGTGATTTTATACAAATCGGATGTATAAACTAGACTATCCTTGGTAATTCAAGCTAATTAACTCTTGCACAAATGTCCCCCTCCCTGTCTTATTTGCAGCGTCCAGGCTGTAATCCTCACAGACAGCTCAGTGGGTGTCAGACATTTGCAGGGCTTGTTGGAGGGGTGTGTGATGGGGGGGTGTTGCTGTGCATGCATGTTCATTTGGGGGCTTTCCAGCAGACCTGAACCGATTTCAGTTGAAGGGGGGGTGGACGCAGAGAGGGGAGGGGGTCGAGCCAGAGGGCAGCAGGGTCAGGTCTGGGTGGCTGACCACCTGTCCAGATGATATCTCCAGATTGGCGTGCGTTTTCCTGAAACTGGGGGGGTGGAAAAAACAAAAACGGTGTGGTTGTGCGATTAAAGAGTAACGTTAAGAGCAATTTTTTTTAAATTTGTGGTGGATTTTTTTTTTGCAGCAACCTTTGGGAGGAAGTCCCCGCAAACTGTGCAAACGTTACTGGTCTTACGCAGGGAGGGGCTCCTGTTGTTCGTGGTGTTACCGCTTTCTTCTAGACCTCCGCAGAAGGGAATGGATGTTTTTATCTTTACACTGAAAACATTCTTTGCTTGTAAAGACTTCCAACACTGCTGTCTGCATTTGGTTTATCAGTAGAATCCTAAAAATGCGACGTACTCGAACAAAGTCGGGTCTGCTGGACGGATGCAAAAAGTAACGAATCTTGCAACGTTCCGTCTTTTATACAAAAGACGTCGTCAGTCTGAGGAGCTGCAACAAACTCAGTCTTATAAATGGCACCTTCTCCTAGTTTGCTGATGACATTCAAAACTAACTGTTCACATTGAAAAAGAGGACCGTCAGCCTATTGACGAATTGTTAGCGCCCTGATGGCCTCTTGCTATTCACAGAGAAATAAGTGATACTAGCAATAACATTGAAAGAGGGGGACAGTTGGACACAGAGGCCTCCATCCCTGTTTAATGATGGACTTCTTTTCTTTTCACAAAGATGGCTTACTTCACTCTATCAAACCATCATACCTCTTTATCAAGGATGTGAACATCTTCATCCCTGAAAGAGTGACCTCCGGCCTGGAGCTGAGCATAAACCGTAGAGTCTTGGCCTGATGATGTTGCTGGAAAAACATACCTTTTCCATTTTTATTGTTCCTTCCCGTCCTCTCAAACCAGCCGGTCGAAGCAGATGGCCGCGTGTCCTGAGCCTGGTTCTGCTGGAGGTTTCTTCCTTTGAAAAGGGAGTTTTTCCTTTCCACTGTTGCCACTGTGCTTGCTCAGGATGAGAGACTGTGACGGAAGTGAAGATTCGAGTCTGCTGGCTTCCTTAGATAGAGAACTTTACTAATTGGCTTTTCTATGTACGTGAATACATGTATGTAAAGTGCCCTGACACAACTTTGTTGTAAAGTGGCGCTATATAAATAAACTGAATTGAGTACGCCTGTCACGATAACACATTTTGCTAGGCGAATAATTCTCAAAAATTATTGCGATAAACGATAATATTGTTTGAAATTTGAGAATAATTAGAAATTATTCTCAAATTTAAGAAGAAATGTTGGTTAATTTATTTTGAGTGTAGTACCTTTTTTTGACCACCGGATGACAGTATAAGACCGTTTGAACCGAAGGATAGATGGTGAGAGAGCGAGCAGCGTGTCTCTTTAAGAAAAATGGGAGGGAGGCCCCGTGACGCGACATGGGCTGTCTCCTTCCTGTTTATCAGTTCTCAATTTGGCGGACGCTCGGCGATTTGAGCTCTTTAGCATAACATTTTTCACACAAAGCTTTAAATAAATAAAAAAAGGAGTAAACAAGTTCTCAGCATCTTTTTGCAGAGAAAAACAACTTTTTACACAAAGGCACGAGTTTCAACCGTGAATTTTGGAGCTTCGACAAAACGGAGGTTTTGTCTCGAGGTCGGCCTGTTAGCTTAGCTTGTAGCTTAGCTTCTTAACTTGGCTGCTTTTAACGATCCAAAAACGTGATTTTCGGACAGTTAACACGGATTTTAAAGAGAAAGGGAGGGGTCAGTGAAGAGCACCGGAGTTGAGCCTTTTGTCGTCCAGTGTCTTCAGTAGAAAGAGAGAGACGCGAAGAAACGATAAAGCCGATAAATGAAAGTTATCGACTTTGTTTTAATTAATCATGCGATTAATTGATTTGTTTATCGGGACAGGCCTAGTCCTGATCTTCCACAACTTGTATTGTAAGCACAAAATTTTCTTCACCTGAAGTTTATTATTACGTGGCGGAATAACAACATTTCAACAATTAAACAGTAAAATATCCACATTTTTAATAAATATACAGCAATAACTGTTTAATTTAAGACATTTATAAGTAAAATACATTTTGTGTTGTATGTTTTAAGTGAGAGTAAAGAAACTGATTTCCCCATTTTAACGTACATATTTGTGATTCCATTCTTTTATTTTTTTTTAGCATTGTGGAATCTACATTGCGGATATTACAACTTTAATTTTATCTTCATTTATTTACTGTTGGAACATAATTTACCCATCAAACTTGGAATTATGTTAAATGTTTTGCATTCAGAACGAGACCAAATATCCCATGAGGGTTTAAAGACGTTTGAGTGTAGTTTATTTCTTGAATGATAATTATAAAAAAAAAGCTACAAACGGATTAAATTCATGTCACGTGATGCATATTTAATTATCAATATGTATCAGATCGTGTTGCTCTCATAAGAACATCGTTTAAGGCTTCAGTACCACAAGGAAATATTTATTTTACTAAACATTTAACTTAACACATTTGTTGTGATGTAATGAAAATCCCTCCCAAAACAAAGTTGTTCTCATTTTAATAGTTAATGTGTGCTGAAAATGAAAATGTGCATGTAAAATTTGTGACCGGGATTCCACGAGCGTTGAATTGGTATTTACGGAACAAGTTGAAGTGACATGAAAATGGAAGAGTGGAGGAGTTGTCCGGGTGTTTTATTTCTTTTCTGTTGCGTTTAGCAGCAGTTCACGCTCATGTTTCCACCTAAACGTCTCCTTGATTCTACACTTGTTGGAGTCCGCCATGTTTGTTTACTTACACAGACTACAGCCGGCCTATTGTCGGTCTCTGTGGATTTAGCCTTTGTTTACACTGAGTGCATACCCACATTTCAGAGCTTGTCAGTTTATCTGGAAAACAGCATTTTCACGTTTTATAGTTTGCAGCGAGTTCCTTGAACATTAAGGAAGACGCTCGGTTGCTTTCGATTCAGTTCTGTCAGAACACTGGGATATGTCACCGCGTCTCACAACCCAACAAGATTCTTGTTTTAGGAGTAATGAAAATCAAACGGGAGGTTCAAATTCTTGAGTTCAGCTCGTGTCAATAAATAAATAACGCATCGTAAATTGGTGCCGTTTTTCCTCGGAGTCCAAATCGTTTCCCTTCAGTTAGCACCGTTTTAGTCTGAACGTTACAGGCTGCTCCGACCTGCTGAAAACCTTTGGATCTTTGTCGTGTGTGTGTGTGTGTGTGTGTGTGTGTGTGTGAGAGAGAGGTATACAGACTAAAATGAAAACAAACCATGTTGACTTTGACTTTTTCTCTGCGTCCAGAGAAACTGATTGTGTCGATGAAAGAGCTGCACCGTTCACCTGACATGATAAAAGCGTGAATCGCTTATTTCAACACCCCTCTGCCTTGGCCATACCCCTGGGGGGTAGAGGTGGGGGGAGCCTCCTCTTTCCTCCTGCTATGGAAAAAAAAAAAAAGGTCTTTCAGGCCAGAAGCCAAGCATCTCATTTCTGGTGTAACAAAACCACTGAGGTCTTTTTTTTTTTTTTTTAAACGAAATCTTACGTTTCTGTATTTGCCACCATGAGCGTGTGGTTTAGGTCCCTGGGTTGTTTTGATCTCAAGTGAGAGTTTGTGTGTAGTGCAGACGGTGTGTGTGTCCTTACATATATAAAGCTGTGTGTGTGTGTGTGTGTGTGTGTGTGTATTCTCTCCCTGGGGTCCTCTCCTCTTCCATCCCTCGTTTTTATAAAAGGAAAGATTCAGAGAGAGCAGCAGATGTTGAAGCGCTGACCTTTATGGTGGCAAAGGATCAGATGAGAGTTAAAAGACAAGCTGAGTACCCACAACCCCCCCCCCCCCCCCCCCCCCCCCCCATCCCCGTCCCCCCACTCCTCAAAGC